CTGTGGAAAATACTTTAGGTATTCAGCTGCTGGGCTGCCAAAAAGGGGGCTGAGGGGGATAGAATTCTTGGGCCACCCTGGGAGACCCTAGGAGGCTGGGCAAGTCAAGAGATTTGCTTTTAGTAGATGTTTGGGTTTGGGTCTGTTGGGTGGGAAGTGGAAAGCTGAGCCCAGAGGAAATCTAGTTCTGGGGCCAATTTTGGCTGTTCAGTGGCTGTATCATTAATGATATAGCTCCATGTAATCCACTATATGTGCACTCAAAATGCATCTGGATAACAGTTTACTAGTTGCAGGGGTCATTTCCTGCAGGAGCACAGAGGAGCGGAGCTCCGGCAGTAAAGAGCCCAGGGGGCGGGCACATGCAACAAGCCCCACCCCCTGCTCTCAGCAGCCCTGGGCCACAAGGAGCAAGAAGCAGCCCTCCTTCTTTCCTTCACTTTCTTTCCCTCTTTGCCTCCCTCTTTCCTTCTCTTTCTTTCTCTCCTTCCTTTCTACTTCTTTCATTCTTTCCAGTGTTGCATTGCTAAGTAGGATCCTGTGATGGATAAAAATCTATACCGTACCACCAGAATGAATTATGCAAAGAGGTAGGTTTCAGATCTGCGCTCCCCCCAAAACAGTCCAATAGAGCCTGAGCAGCTTTCCACTTCTGACACACTTCCAGTGATGTTGGGGTATGTGGCATATGCAAATAAGTTATGCTAATGAGTTATGCTAATAAGCTCCTGCACCTCTTTTTCTATGAAATGACCCCTGACTAGTTGTATTAGGCTCTGGAAGCATAGGAGGGAAACACAACTTTTCTAGCATCGTGTGGCTGCTGCTGCTTAGAATGAGTCTGCAATTGTGGCATGATCTAGTGAGGCCAGGCTAGGAAACAATATGTGATGAGCTTCTCAGCTGTGCATGAGACAGTACAAAGGCTTTATATGGAAACTCTTGTGTCTGACAGAACTGGTTTTATATTGGTAGGGGTAGGACTCTAGGAAAGTAGAAGCCCTGCAAAAAAAAACAAAAAAAAACCCACACACCAGGGTTGTCCAACTCTGGCATTGCAAATCAATCCACAAATATGATTGAATGAAGACTGCACAGACAGCTGACAACTAAGCAGCCCCAGTATCCAGCTGGAGTTCTGACAAATTATGTAGCTACAATTCGGAAATCAGAAATCTGAGAAAGGGGCTGGTTGGCAGGTGTAACAACTGCAAATACGTGATTCCATTTTCCATGTGTGTCATGTTTTAAAACAATTCTACTGATGGCAGAACACTGTAGTTCTTATCACGGGATTAGTCTAATTACTTTTATCTAGCTGCATTGCATCAAGATGTATTTAGTTCTTTACTTGTCCATCTACATGGAGGACAGCTTCAGCTGCAGCATAGGACAAGCCCTAAAATGAAGAGATTTTGAAAGAAAACAAACAGGATTTCCCCCCAGAAACTCTCAAGATAAAACCAACTGGATCAGTATGTGGTCAGATGACAATTACAGAGGAGGATCAATCTTGTACTTGGGGCAGGTTTGGAATCCACGTGGCTGGAAAGGTGCCGATTTCTGCATCTTTCTGCTCACATCCAGCACAATTTCCTGCCATCCCTGCCATTCTCTGGTCCCTCAGCTGGCTTTTTGCCACCTATTTTTTTGTATCAGAAGTAGATTATAGTGTCCTTATACTATAAGTAGTAATAAGGCACATTGCGGAAATAAATGAAATGAGCCCTAGAAAGAGGGTCTGGGAGAGTGCTGTGGCCTGGAGCAGTCCCCCCCCCCCCGAGTGCCATGGCCAGACCACTGCTGCTGTGGTCTTACCACCAAGGCCCCCCAACCTCCCACCCAGCCCAGCCCCCCCTTCCATGTTTCTGGAATTTTCTCTCTCTGTCTCTTGGCAGCGGGATATAAGTGGTTGCTGCCGCCATCAAGCCCTGTGCCGTCTCTCTCACTGGCAGCTCGTCTCCACCACCAGGAAGCCCCATGACCCCCTCTTTTACCAGCCACTGTCTCTCTCCGCTGGCAAGCTGGCAAGCTTCCTGGAAGACTCCCACCAAATGTGCCGCTTTACAGCCCCTGACTCTTCTCGCCGCCTGTGCAAAGTCTGGGAGCGGCCTGCAGAGGCATAGAGGAGGGGAGGGGACACCAACAAAGCCCAGATGAGGGAGGAAGAGGTGGTGGCAGCGAAGCAGGGGATGGGCAACTCCCCCTGGTGGCCAGATCTGTGCAGAAGCCTGGGAGGGTTGAGGCGAGAGCGTGCCACCCACTGCCTGCTGCTCGCACGCTAACATGGCCAGCTGCCTAATAAAGTGGCTGGCCTCTGCCTCCAAATCCCGGCCGGGCTTCATCTCTCCAGCCGGTGACATCAAAAGAGCCCCCTGGGTCTCTTGGGCTTGCTGCAGCAGACACTTCCCACCTGCCACTTTCAGGGCCTGCAGTCTACCACATGCTTGCGGGCTGTGGCTGGCAAAACTCCAGGCAACTTGGTGGTCAGAGGAGCCGGCTGCAGCGGGGTCTTCTAGGTCACATGTTGGGCATTTTGCAGCCGCCCGGCCATGGCCCCCGTGCCTCTGCCTCCTCCTCCTCATCTGCTGCTGGCCTCCTGCCCGGCTGGCCTTGCTTCAGCATCCTCAGCCAGCCCCTGCTGGCCTTCTACCTCAGCGCCCCAGTGCCACTGCTGCCGGGATGTGTGACCTCAAGCCACTGGGCGAGCTGCCCAGCAGGACCCCCCATCTTTCCAGGAAATTTTATGAACTGTAGTCAATGACCCCCTAAAAGTTTAAATGCCCCCCAAAGGGAGAAAAATGCTAGCTATGGGCCTGGCTCCACCTCGGTGGTCCCCCCACTCCAACTCTGGATGCATGGCTTTTTGCCCCCCTGCCACACTCTACCTCTCAGCCATTTTAAAGAGCAGGAGGCAGGCAACAGAGCCAGCATGTGAGGCAGAGCCAGGTTGAGCAGCTGGAGGTGGGGAGGAGAGGTGAGCTGCCGGTGTGGTGGCAGTGTGAGGGGGAGAGTGGCCACTGCTCGCTGGGTCCTCGGTCCATTTATGGGGTGGGTGAAGGATGGGGGGGTAGTGGGAGAGGACCGAAGCGAGGACTCCCCTCCTCACCCCCCACCCCTGATGCTGTGCGTGAGCCAGAGGGAAGGAGGCCCAGGCTATCCACAGCCCCGCAGAGAGTCCCATCCATCCCTTCCATTGGCTTTGAGCACACTGAGCGCAAGATGGGGGGCGCCGGCTCTGTGGGCAGGACTTCAGCCACGCAGCCATTGGCACACCATCAGAGTGACAGGTCAGGGAGTCAAAGGCTGTGGGAGCATGTGGAATGTTCAGAAAAGAGTCACACCAGAAGAAAATTATATATAAGGAGAGATACTACTATAGTAATATATACTATAGTAATATGCCAGAGACATGTATAAGCATTCATTGCAGGGTTTGTATATACTGCAACTTAAATGTAATTCCCAGATTTAAAGGCAAATGCCATCAAGGGTCACTGGTTCTCACATATTGCAGGAAAAATGCAAGGAGAGGTGTATTGCAGGGGTGATTCTGTGGGTAGCTAATTACAGCTGATGATTCTCACTTTTGTATTGGGCACTCTCCCCTTGAACTGCCACCAGATTAGAAGCAACCTCTGTGTTTACTGTCAGGTAAATCAGGGAGTTGGTTATTGAGTAATGTCTGCACAGCGACACTGAAATTACTGGATTATAACAGCATGCCATTCTTCTGGCCAGTTGTTTTCCTGACCATCCATTTCTGAAGGTGGTCTTACATTTGACACTGAAATCTGTTCTTGCTTCAGTTGGCTAATAACAGAGATCTGCTCTGGCCAGAATGAGTTGCAAATGCCTCTCCCCTGCTTTCTGATCCACACAAACAGCAACAAAAGCATCTACAGAGGTAGCATGAGGGGTTTGAGATAAGTAATTTAATGACTAGACTAGATAATATATTGAGAATCTAGGATTCAATCTTCCACAGTTTAGAAGTTAAAATTCAGGTTATGGTGCTGGGGAGGGGAAGTGGTTTAACCCCTTCCACTGTGCCATTTCCCTGATGCAAATTATACCTCAGTTTATATGCCCCCATGTGGCAATTTATGGGCACTTTTTTGTTTTCTTCTGAGGGGCCAAACATTGGTCAGACAATGTTCACCAGAAAAAGAAGATGGCAGAAAATGTTAATCTTGATTTCCGAGTGCTGTGGCCCAATCCAAGTTTCCTTCTTCCCCACATCAGCTTTTCAATTTAACCCCCTCCACACACACATACAGAATACCCACTCTTATCTGTCAAAATTCCAAGCATCATATCTGAAAATGTTCTGTGCAACAGAAGTCAACTTTCCATTCCTATTTTAGATATCAGTTTCTGATATAATGTGAAGTTTACTGTTTTCTGTGCCACTTTCGACGTGGTTCCCCTTTTCTAGAGCTGAAAAGGAGTTTTGTATCACGCTCACCAAAAGCAGTTGTAAGATGGGTCAAACAACGCTTTATTCCAGGCTAAGATATTTTTTGTACCTCGAATAAAAGTAAATATTGTTTTTTTAAAAAACTGCACTAGTTGTTATACCGAGTCTGTCAAACCCTATTCACCTATCATTCACAACAGATCTTTGACTTTAGCACTGGCCAGAATACTAAATCAATGTGCCACACATTGACTGTGAAAATGATTTTTAAATGAAATATATATCACACACGGGCAAATGGCTATGTGCAAAATGTCTACATTATAAATCATGGGTCAGATGTACAGAAGAGTGATTAGTCAACTTTTGGGTATTTTCAATTTGTGTTGCACTGTAAAAGCAAACCGTTATTTTTCATTTCTTTATAGCTGTTAGTTAGAGTGAGATCTATTGACATGAGGTTTGCCAGAAGCCAATCACTTTTCATTCTGTTGACACTTCCAGATCCCTAATTTTAGGCATGAGGTAAATTAAAGCAAACCATGATGTCCCTTTTGTTTGCCTTCATTTTTTCTCGCAGAATATTTCAATGCATAACACTGTTGGTGGAGCCATGGCAGCCCCTGGAACACACCAGCTCTCCAGCCCGAGGATGCCAAACCATGACACAAGCATTGTGATTCAACAGGCGATGCCATCCCCGCAATCCAGCTCAGTCATTACACAAGCACCTTCTACAAACCGGCAGATTGGGTAAGAAGACTGCCCTCCATTATTTTAATTTTGTTTGGATGAAGTGTTGGGCCAGGTGTTATACCAGATGCCTCACTGGAATTGTACATGAAAAAAGAAGAAATTCCACCTTGTTTCTTGTGGTGCTCTACAACTACTTGAAGATCCATTCATTTCAGAACACTGGCCTTTGTTCACATGTGTGGAATTGCTATCCTAAATAGAGTTTCCACATTTCTTCTCCAGACACGGGAGCTTGTAGGGCAATAGTAATCATGGCTGTAGTGGTATGCCCACAGGAACCCTAGTGCTATATATCTTAAGTGAACAGAAGGATAGCACTCACAAAAACGCTCTGTAAGTGTTACTGAAAAGTTCAGAGCTTATCCAAGTCAGCTCCATCATGTTTAAGGTGAGAGTATTTCTATCCTCATGTTCACAGTGAACATCCAGCCAGGTTTTCATTCTTAACAAACTAATATCTTGTTTTAGGTATTTATCTGTTTTCTTATACTTGGGAAAGAATAGGCTTGTGTTGTAGAGGCATTGTGCTTTGTCATTTCTGGGTGTTCAAAAACCTGGGGAATCTGAGGAAATGAAATTCTTTTTCTTGCTTGTATATCTATTGCTATTGTGATTGAGATGTAGGATATGGTTCTTAAGGTAATATAGGCACCTGCTGGCTTCTGCTTGTGAAGTTATTTTTGGTAACCATGTGAAATTTTTATTTTATTTTGATATTGTGTTCAGTGGTAGTGTGTTTTCCAGTGGATTCATAGCACCAGTGTATTCATCCACTGCTATTTAACAAAAGAAGCGAGCCTCTTCCTACCCTTTGCCTTTTCTATTTGTGCCTCTGCTTTACCTAAGAGTGCTGTCCATGACTTTCATGTAAACCATTTAGACCAAATCTGCACTTCACTGTCCTAAATCTTGAGTGAATAATCTAAGTACTTAGAAACACAAATTTCACGATCAAAATAATTACACTTTGGACTATTCATGCACATTTACAAAATATATTTATTTCTTCTTGTGTGGCACCCAGCCTTGGACAAGTATAAGAAAATATATTTTAAAATTATGGTCAGATCCTTACTTTTTGGATATACTCTCATTTTTGTTAGAGGTTGGGTGTAGGTTGGTGTATAAAGAATTAGGAGTTTTTCTTTATTTACTTTTAGATATGAATGGCCTTGCAGAACGTGGCGGTTAATGAACTCTAATCTTTTCAGAAAGCAGTGTGGTAATGCTTGTACCTCGTCTTAAGTGGGAGCAGAATCAGGCCCTAAAGGCTATAGAGAACGGTACTGTAGCAACACTCTGATTTTTATCACAACTGTAGATAGTTAAGTGTCAAAATATGGCCCAGCCACCTGCAAATGTTTGCACTGGCTGCAGGCCAACAAAAACAATGAATGGGAAGATAAGGTTTCCTTTGCTCAGGCTTTGCTCCTGCATGAGAGATGGGGACTCCTCTGTGTTCACGGGCATTTCAGTCCATGCAGCAGACTTGGGTGTGTTTGTTTGGAGTGCATGTGACTCTTTCCATGCTCTTTTTCTCATCTTCTTTTTTCACTTAGCCTCTGGGCTGGGAGGTGTGTGCATGAAATGGAAAAGTCCTAGATACTAGATAAGGTTTGTTGAGAAAAGATTACTGACAGTGTTTAATCATACTATTTTCAGACATTAAATAGATTCCTGCTATTATATAGGCTCTGTTGGGTCATTAAAAGTGCATATACACTCTGTACACTTAGAGGGGAGCAGGATGTGTACCTATTGGTCCATCCCCAGGACATCTCTGCATACAAACAAAGTTATGTAGGGAGACCTTATGTGTGTATACACAGACTTTGTGTGTGTGATTGGGATCCTGCTTTTCAAAGCATTACCAATCATACTGTGTACAAAACCAACCGGCATACATTTGGACATGCATAAGGCTTCCTGGCGAACTTCATCTGCATGAGCAAAATGCCCCAGGCCAGTGGGCATAATCCCAATTTTCTCTAAATGCATAGTAATGTATTTGCTTTAAGAGAGGAAAGTACTTTTTCTTTTAAACTGCAACATGGGCACTTAAAGCCAATCAAAAACAGGAAGTAGTACCATTGTAAGACAAGCAGTTTGGCATAAAAATCCCAGATGTTATTGGGATGTCTTTAAAGAAGCGTGGGGGAGAAGGCATCTGACTAGATGTTGTGAAGAAGGAGAACCATCCGGTGTTGCCTTCCCTTGATTAATAGCAAGTGCATATTCCAGTGATAAGTTGCACTGAGGTTCAAAACAGAGAAGGAAGATAACAGAATGTAAGAATTCATTTTAACAGCAAAAGAAAGGCAGAAAAGCTGAACCTGTCATCCAGTTTAGAGAGCTTTCCATTTTATTACAACTACATTTCATGCAATTTATTTTTTACTACCGTTCACCAACTGCCTATGTAGGGGGGAAATGGGGGGGGGGAGAGAATGTTGATAAAATGAGCTGCTGTCAATCTTGTGTAACTTCCGTTATCAGTAGTGTTGTGCTGTATTTTAAATGTGCCAGAACGGTGAATGGAATATCTCCCATTGTAAACAATAGAAACTCCCATGAGAATTTTCTGATGCCTTCCCACCCTTTTGTAGCTAATTACTATGTTATACAGATAATATTGTATGAGTTTTTTGGGAACTCAAGCTTTTACTTGTTACGATCTATGTGCTGACTCAAGCCTTCAACATTGCTGAGTCAGATAGTCCCAGTAATATCCATCTATGATATGGTTCAATAAGGTTATTTTTTCTTCCACCAGAAAGTCCTTGGGGAACCTGGAAGTATTGAAAGAGGAACATCTATCTTTATCGTATATACCTGGAATGCAAGTGTTGAAATTAACATTCATTCGAGCGTGTATGAATAGTTATCACAGTTGGAGAGGATCTTGTCCATCCCTTCCACCAATAACATTGGCCCCAGCATGGTTCCTGTGGGCAGTATGGCATCTTACACAAAGGGCAACATAGAGTTACAGAATGATGAAAAGACCCAAGATGTGTTTTGACTAATTGTAACAGATAAATGGGCTATTTTTCATTTATGTTTTTTGTGTGTGTGAAGCGTTGTGTGATTTTATACAGGAGGCCATACTTAGGTCTCTGGGTAATCCAGAAGTTACTTAGATGGGATTTGCGATTCCAGCATGTAGCTCCTTCTGACTTTTAGGCTTTTACCTGACTGACAATCTATATATCTAATTCCAACAGGGGGCAGGTTGTGCGGATACTTATTTCCACCAACAGGAAGCTCACTCTCCCCCAACAGCTTTTCCTACATAGTCAGTATACTTCCTGTGTCTGCAGAAAAATCCAAGAAGTACAAAAATCCCTTCAGGGAGGGTTGCATTCCCCCCAATACCTTTTGAAATGGCCTCTGCAGGGATCTAACTCCAGGCATCAATGGTGTGAGAGAGATTAGAACGTTTGGGGAGGCTTCTAACTGGCCCTGTCAGTAAAAGGGGGGGGGAGAACCCTTTCCTGCCCTCTTTTGGCCTCGGAGGGAGGGAGGGAGCCTTGGGGCCTGGCCTGACAAGGGCTGCCAGTGCCAGCCTGGGGAATCCCTAGAGGTTTTGAGGGCTGGGTTTGGGGAAGGGAGAGGCCTCAGCTGGATATAATGCCACAGAGTCCACCCTCCAAAGCAGCCATTTTCTCCAGGGAGACAGACCTCTGCTGTCTTGAGTTCAGTTGTAATTCTGGGGTGGTGGTCCTCCAGGCCCCACTTAGAGGTTGGCAACCCTAGGCCTGGCAGCAGTTTAGGGTTGCCAGATCCCCCCCTGGCCACTGACGGGATGGGGGGTAAGGTTGCCAGGTCCAGGCTGGGAAACTCCTGGAGATTTGTGGGTGGAACCTGGGGAGGACAGGGACCTCAGTGGGGTACAATGTCACAGAATCCACCCTCCAAAGCATCCATTTTCTCCATGGGAAGTTATCTCTGTAGTCTGGAGATGAGCAGTAATTCCAGGCATCCCCAGGTCCCACCTGGAGGCTGGCATCCCTAGGCAGCACCCTCTGGATGACTTGATACCACCTGATTTGCATGACAATTAGGCCCAGCTGCTTGCTACTGTTCATCAGCAGCCACCCTATGAAAGCCAGTGCGGTGCATCAGTTAGAGCTTCAGATTAGGGTCTGCAGGTTCAGATCCCCATCTTGCGGTGAAAGCTGACTGGGTGATTTTGGACCAGTCACATACTTTCAGGGTTGTTGTGCAGATAAAAAGGAGGACAGAATAATGTAAGCTGCTTTGGTCCCCACTGTGGAGAAAGACTATAATTTTCCTAGATAGAGGCTGTGGGGAAGGGTGTGGAGATGGAAAGCATTGAGGAGGGAAGGAACTACAGATCAGTATAATGCCATAGCTGGAGGAGAAAAAGAAAGGGGGGGCAGAAGGGAGAAAGAGTGTGAGAGAGGTAGAGGGAGACAGGAGGAAGCAAAGGTGTGAGGAATAGGATAACCATCCCGCAAGTTTCTTGCGGGTCTCCACTTGTGAAATTCTAAAGCCAAACACTGTACAGTTTGGGCTTTGTCTCTTCATGCCTGATCTACCAACTTACAGCCAATGCAGGTCACTTACAGGTTCAGAGGGGGCAATTTGCTTTGAGAAATTGCCTCTTTGAAAGGAGTAGTGTGGTATTTTCCCTTCCAGAGCAAATACTCTCAGGAGCTTTGGCAATCTCTCTGTCTAATTAAAGAACATCTGCCTGAAGATTTTGAAAGATTCTTCTACAGGGTCAGCATGCATGGAGAAGTTGTTGGGGCATTGTTTCCCTGTTCTATTCTTGGCAGATCATGCCAGAATAAGCACCAGCTCTACTGGCTGACCATCTGGCTTCCCAATTCAAAGCCTGGGAGAAAGGTAGATTCTTTACTGTACTCTTTGTAAAGAGTAAAGAAAGGTAGATTCTTTACTCTGTGGTCACTTCCTGTACTTCCACTTTAATTAGTGCAGACCTCCAGCAATGTGGGGTTATTTATTCATTT